TTCAGTCTGGGTCACAGCTGGCTGTGGAGAAGGTCTGGTTGCCACAGCTGGAACTGCACACAGATCCCTTCAGCTGGCTGGGTGGTGTGGCCAGACACACAGATACTGCAGGCTTGGGGAAAAGATGGTATGCCCCCCACACGCTCTTTCCTCTTCCAGAGTTTCAGGCAAGGCTTGCTTTGCCTATGCCCCCATCTTTGGGGACAGATCTCCTTTCTCCATAACCTAGCCCAGTGCTTGGTAAGAGAGGCCCTTTCTTGGGTGCCAGCTGGGAGGAGGGTAGGGCAGTGGGGCAAGCTGACAAACACTCTCTGCTCATCCTGAGCTGTTTGTCTGTGCATCCTGACTCAGGATCAAGCTGTCACAGCCCCGTCCCCTGCCTTGTGTTGCTTCCTCTGGGAGCTGTCAGGAGGCTGCTGGAGCCATGCGGTAACATGGGTCTCGGGGAGGCAAGCAAGGTCAGATGTCTGCTCAGAAATGAGATTGGCAATGATGCCACCGGTGCTGACAAATGGCCTGTCATTAATCTCTGACTCATGGCAGCGGAGAGGGCAGCAGTGGAAGAAACCCATGAGGTCACTGGCAGCCTCTCTCCCACGGGACCTGCACACAACTTCGACCCTAAACCTTTCTGCAAGGGGTGAGCTCTTCCCTGGGATGGGAGGGGGTTCTTTTGCTACACACCTGCCCTGAGTTTTTGTGTTTGTGTGCAAGTGCAAGGCACAACTCCAGACGAGCTGCAGTCAAGGCCCTAAGCACCTGGGAACTGGCACAATCATACAGTCCCTCTGGAACTGGATTTTGGCTTGTGGCATAGCTCTGGCTCAGCACTGCTGCACGCAGGATGAAGGTTGAAACAAAGCTTGTATTTTCAGTGGGTTGCAATACCGTTGTGAGACACGAGGTGCTGTGCTGCTGGGAGAGGCTGCAGGGAGCTGGAGGAGACAGACTGGGATGCTCAAACCCTGGCTGTGCTCCCTCATGCTGGGGCATTGCCAGGGCTGAGTCTGCAGGGTGCTCAGCCCTCTTTCAGAGGAGGCTTTCCTCCTCTCCTGCTCTTTGAGTCTCTTCTCATGCTTTTTATAGAAAAGGGGTGTTTCCTCAGTTGCAAAATACTCCTTGGAGGTGATAGCCAAACAGACAGGACTTTCTGTGGTAGTAGATCCTGATGGAGATGCTGCACTCCCTGCTCAGCCATGCTGGTGAGCTGCACAGGGCTGAGCTGCCTTTTAGGGCAGCTGTTGGTGCTACAAGTACAACCTTTGCCCGTGAGCAGGGAAGAGGTGACTTTCTCCTCTGGGTTATTTGGGGGTTGCTTCAGTCTCTTTTAGGACGTAATGAGAGATGGTTAATCCACCTCAACTGACTCCAGATGCTTGAACCTCTCAGCATGCCCTGGGGAGTGGATGGGCAGCAGAAGGCAGAAGCTGCGGCGTGGGATTGGGATTGGGATTTCTGTGCCTGGAAGGGCAGGGAAGAGAGGTGCACTGATAGTGATGAGGAGGTGCTGATTTTGGAGAGTGAGGGCTGCTACCACCCCAGGCTGCTGAAGCAGTGGCAGAGCCTGAGCTGTGCCTCCAGGACCTTCCCTCTCTGCCTTGGCTGAGCTACGATTTAATTTTTCACTTTTCTTCCATCCCCTCTTAACTGGAAGAAGTCCTAAATAAAGTTGCTGTCACTTTTATTTATGGGCACAGAGGAAGACACGGACAAAAAGCCTGTGTGCTCCTGACAGCTACAAAGCATCCGGCTGTTTTTCCTCGCTCGCCTTGGCGAGGCAATCGATCTGGGCACAGGCAAGCACCCTCCCTGCATGCATTGGGCTCCCACGTGCCCCTGCCCAGGGCACCCATGAGGATGGATGGGAGGGGGCTCTGCATCCTGGGTCCTGGCCCTCAGCTGCTGCAAAGCCAGGCTTGTCTGGGAATACCTGTCCTAAAATCCTGGACCCATAAAAATACAGATGCATGAACACGCCTGCCTTAAGAATCCATCACAGGCTTCTTGTCTCCATCTTGATTGGTTCCAGTGAGGTCAACTTTTTTTAATAACTCCTGGACTTCAGCAGGGAAAACTATTTCCTTCAGGAAATAATATAATTAAGGCTGCCTGACACTTCTGATTATAAGCCCCTGTCTTCAGTTGCTTGAAACTACGCCAGCCTTTAACCATTTGGACTGAAACTTCACATGTCTCTGCCTCCGGCTGAATTTTTTTTGGAAAATTTTAGCAAAGAGAGTTTTAAGCTGCTCTCAGAACAGAGTGGGGGGGGGAAGGCATTAGTTTATCCACAGTTAAAAATAAAATTAAAAAAAAAAAGAAGCAGAAAAATTCTTGCAGTTGTGCTGAAGGAATTCCAGTATCTTTGTGCTGTGAGTCTGAGCCTGACAGTTTTTGGGAAGGTTTTGAGCCAGGCATCAGGGTTCTGCTCGTTGCTGACGGCACAGGAATCCGCCTTCCCCGCGCCAAGTGGCGAGGCTGTGAATCGCGGGCTGTGCGGCTGTGTCACACACAGGATGTGCGGGGCTGTCTCCGCAGCAGGAGCTGCCCTGCAAAACCTGTGCCCCCAGCCCCTGCAGGGATGCCTCGCTGCTGGGAAATGCTGGGCCCCTTCTGCTGGTGCAAGTAAAATTTGTGGATCCCTGACCAGCTTGTGCTGGGCAGAAAGATTTTTGGCAAATGATGTGTGTTTGGAGTTTTAATTTTTTTTTTCCATTAAGCAAGTGGTTGAGTTATCCATGAGCCCTCGCTGTGCCATGCGGATGCTTCATGTGGGACATGCAGCATGCTATGAGTGCTGGGCTTCCTCCAGCAAGGAAGCAATTTTGCAAGGACCTGTTTAAAAAGTTAGTGCTTTTGCAGGCAGGTTTCTCTTAAGCCAGCTTGTTGCTACAGAAATGGCCAAAGCAGGGGAATTTCAGTGAGGCAGCCCTATAAAACAGGTGTCATGCTGATGATGTGCCATGACCATGGCATTGCTGATGTCTTGGTGATGCAGGGTGAGCTCAGCACTGATGCAAGCCCTCCTGCAGAGACCTCACCCAGGATTTGTCCCTGCTGTGTGGCTAATGATATTTGCTCCTTATGTGAGCCCACCTGAGCTGTGACCAAGGCTGTCCCATTATTATGGGGAAGCACAGCTCACAGATCTTCCCTCTGGCTCAGCAGTGACTCATGCCCCAAGTCAGGTCCTTCAGCTGGTGACCTGTTTTGGACATTTTGAGTTCCTCTAAAATCCAGTTTGACCTCAATTTGACGCCCCTACAAAAGCAAGTCATGCCTTGATTTCCATGTGGAGAGCTGGGCTGCTGGATCTGTGGCTGGGCTGGCTCATATGGCTCACTGCAGGGCACAGAGGTGGCAGAGAGTGTCAGTCCTTTCCACAGGTTCCAGAGATGTCTCTCAGAAAAGGCAATGGGATTTTGCACTTTGCACCCACAATAATGCACTGTCTCCCTGAGGGTACTCACTGCTAAGCTCAGTCTCTCTCCTCAGGTCCCTGCCAAGCTGGAATTAGAGCCTAGGAGGGTCTCTGGCAGGTAATGATAAATGAGCCTCATCTCTCCTGTTCCGCTTCATCTGTGGGTAGGGAAAAAACCCAACACTCCCAACCAAAACTGCTTCCACAGAATAACCAAAGAGTTACATTTGCATTGCAGAGAGGAGGCTTGGTGGGGAGCAGCCCCCTCCCCTACTTGCCAGTCATTCCTCAGCTCTGGGGCGCCTGGCAGAGCAGGTTTTGAATGATGGGGCATTGTGGGTGCTGAGCTTGGGGCAGCTGGAGTTAAATTTCTTGGTGGCTGACACCTGACAAGTGTGATAAATTGCGGCACACTGTAGCTGCCGGCATGACAAACAGTCAGCTCCCCTCCTTGTAAACTCTGGGAAAACTTTGTAATTATTTCCAAGCACTTTGCAAATGAGGGTTTCGCCATCAGGCGCCCAGTGTAGTTTCAGGGGGTGGTCATTTATTTATTTAGGTTTTGTAGGCAGGCGGGAGGTAGAGGGGGGTTTGTAGTTTGGGTTTCTGCAGCATCTTCCCATTGGCTTGTCCAGGCTTTGCATGAAGTCCTGCGAGGAACTCTGGCAAAGCTCATCAGCTGAGGGTTGGGTGCTAATTAAAGCCTGTGGTGTTCCAAGCTTGGAGTCACTGTCACCCTTGGGAAAGAATCTCTGCAGGAGTGAGTCCCAGACTTTTCTCTTGCCAGTGGGTTTTGGCTCCTATTTTTCATTTTTAATAATGCAGAGCCACAAGATTTGTTTTGTTTTTTTTTTTTTTCTCTTCAAACCATTTAAAAAGAAGTAGGGGGAGCAACACAATCTCAGCCACAAGAGCTGGATAATGAGCACAGATCTTGACTGATAATTTGTTTGTCTAACACAAAAAGCATATTTCCTGCTCTAAGGGAGGGCACCGCTGGTTACACCAGTGCCTCTGACTCCATCTCACCACACAGCATGTCAGACCTAGCACAGAAAGTCCTCCTCCCATTTCCAGTCCTTGGTGTCTTGTGCTGCAAAGCCATACAGGCATGTTTTCCTCTCCACACCCCGGGGTTCAGTGGGACTGGCCTCTCCCTGCACTGTTTAACACGTGTGTGAGGCTTTTCAGGATTAGGGCTCAGGCAGCACAAGACCTCATGGGCGAATGGCTCAGTGCTGGGCTGGCAGAGTGGTGCTGCTGTTCTGCTCTGTCTGGGGAGCATTGCTGTCTGTCTTTAAAGAAGATCAGAGATGCCCCACGCTGCAGGGGTCTTTTTTCCCCTCTCCCATTTCATGTCTCTGAATCGAAATAATTAAGCAAATACGTACTTTGGGGCTGGACTGTGACGCTCTTGTGGGAGGGCTCTCATTCTAACCATGTTCATGTTTGCACCGGTTACCCCCAGCTGTCAGGGCTGGGAAACAGATGCCCCCCTCCTTGGTTCTTTGCTGAACCTGAAGCAATGGCAGAGTTTCACCTGGTGACCTGACAGGTTGTCTCTTCTGTTTTGTTGAAGAAAATCCCAGATCTGAGAAGCGAGGGTCGGACGAGCAGCCAGGAGAATCGCCCAGACGTTTATGAGAAGTTGGGGACGCCCCAAGGACTCTGGACTGGTGGAGAGGTAAGAGGTGGGTTAAAAACCTTGCTCACCCAGCTTGTCCTGAGTTGGTGTGCCTTGTGGGAGTACAGGACATGTGTCTTCTGGTGAGGATGGTGGTGTTTATTAAAGTGTGGCAAAAGGCTGCTCCTCGCTCTGGCGTGTGAGCAACCTTTTAGCTGCTGTGCAAAGAGGGCAGATGCTGAGAGTGGTTATTTAGCATGTGGAGGGGCAAGTATGGATGAACAGCCTGGAAAATCCCATGTTATGGTCTGCCCATGGACAACTTCTCCAAAAAGAGCTCTCCCACTTGAAAGCCCTTGGACAGCTCAGAGGTGCACAGTCCAACCACAGTGGCAGAGGTCCCGTGCTGTGGCTGAACCACTGGAGCAGGTAAGTGTCACCCAGCCCAGCTGTGTGGCGGAAGGTGAGGTGCCACCTCTTGCAGACAAGCACAGCTTTAAGCTCTCAGATCTACTGGGTGGTTTGTTTTTGCTTTCCTGCCCTGGCAAGCTGCAGCATCAGGGATGAGATGGATGGGCTTTGCTTGGAAAGGAAAGCATCCCCTTAGGAGACCATCACCACCAGCAGCCATGGGCTAGAGGCTGCCCCACCTCTGAGGCCTGTTACATGGGTTCTCAGTATGGGGCTGTGGTAACACGCTGCTGTTTGAGGAGGGCTTTGGGATCATGTTCTTTGAGCCATGGTGGAGCAGGGAAGGAGCCTGGAGATGGAGCTGCCCCACCTGGGGATGCAAACCCTGCAGAGCTGGGCTGGGGAAGCCTGGTGCTTGGTGGTGCTGTGCCTGGGAAAGGAAAATGATGAATTAAAATTTAACAAGTCTCTAAATGCCAGACAAGGACGTCTTAAGTGGGAATTGTCACCGTGTGACTATTGCAGCCTCTCACTTAGCTAAAACTGCATGGCTTTAATTATGTTGATCCTAGAAAGCAGTCGCCTACACTGAAGAGGAGAAACTTTTGACCAGAATAGCATGAATAATGAATTTTCTCTGCGCCCCTTCCCTGCCCTCTACCCCTGCATCATGCTTCTCAGAATTGTTTTGCAGCCACTTTAACCCTGGATAAGCAGAGTCCTTTATGCTTTGAGCCACAAGCAAGGACAGAAATGCTCCCTATGTGCACGCTTGATTGTTTGCCCTGGAGTTAAAAGGTCAAGACTAAGGATCCCAGGGGTGGGCAACACCTGATGGAGCCACAATGGTCAGTGGGCTGAGGTCTGGGCGTGCAGAGGTGCTCTGCAGCAGCAAAACCCTGCCCTTGGCGTTGCTCCTTGGTGGCATCTGTGGAGCAGCATGGAACAAGGACTCCTTCCCTCCCCATCCTCGAGGTGGATCAGCCCACCCACGGGACTCCTTGCAACTCTGCAAATAGAGCAGCTCGAGCAGGGTACGTCGCTAATAATACCAATTACTGTTACATGCTGGCTACAAGGTACACTGGCAGTAATGGGATCCTGGGGGGATGAAATGAAAGCGATATAATATGGTGAGATAAATTAGCGTTGTAAAATTAGCCATGGGTCTAGTCAGGGATCTGACAAATGTGTCGCAGCTTTGGTACAAGCTCCGAGCACTGCTGAATTGGATTTAGTGGCCCAGAGCAGAGCAGATGGGAGCAAGGGGAAAAAGAGTTTGAGGGGTCTCCATGCACACATGCTACCAGTTAATGCTGCTTGTTTCTTCCTTGAATTCGTGCAGTGATACGTCCCCTGACGCCTGCTTGTGCATGGCAGCAGATGAGTAAGAGCCCAGCCCAGATGATGTGCTGCTAGAGGAGTTTGGGCCTGGCAGAGAGCTGGGAAGGGGGTTGGAGAAATATCAGCAGGCTGGTGCTGCTGCCAGCTTCGCTGCGTCAGCTGCCGATCCCTGCCCTGCATCACTGGCTGCCTCTCCCAGGTTTGCTCCCAAAGGGTTTGGTGGGATGTGTGGCAGGCATTTGCACAAGTTTTAGCTGTGTAGGAAGGGTAGGAAGCTGCTTTCTGCTTCTCTGTGGCAAGCTGACCTGTTTTCCCACACCTGGATGGGCTCTGGGGCAGAAGGATGTCTGGAGCTGGGCATCCCGCAGCCTGTGGACTTTCCTTGTTGATCAAGGGTGTACAACCAACTCTTTCCCATCCAGATGCACACTTTATTCCTCACCCTCTGAGGCAGAGGGTGGAAGCCGGGAAATGGGATTTTGTGCCTCATGGAGACTCAGAAATGGGTGTGGTCACGTCCAGGGGGATCCACTTCCTGGTGGCTCATTGGGACTGGCTCCACTTCAGGGATGTGAGCACTCCTGCCCATGAGAGGATGAGAGCTTCTCATGGATTTGTAAATTGCATGTTTAATGGCTGACATATTACATTGGATATGGGGAGAGACAGGCATGATTTAGGTCTGGTTTGATAAGGCATGTTCTGTGACTCACTATAATAACAAAGGGAGAGAAAAATTCTGAATATGCTTTGTAGTGCCCTGCAGTGGAGCTGAGGGGGGCAGAGGGGTGGCAGAGCCATCTGTGCAAGGCCTCTCCAACTCGTTCCGGGATGGCTCAAGAGGAATGGTGGGCATGTGGCAGACATATCTGTGGGAGGGAACCAACTTGTCACATCCCTGGGGATGAGTTTGTGGAGGTCAGGCACTGCAGTTCTACAGCAGCACCAGCTTGAGAAACGAATGCCAAGGGCTTGTCTCAGCACTGCCCAGAGAATCCCCAGGGAGCTGAGCCAATTTGTGTGCTGAGCCTGTGGGGACAGAGGAGGAGATGAGCTACCCTTTGTGGGAGGTCAGCCTGGCCACTGCCACTGGTCCCTGTGTCCTCCTGCTGCCCTCCTGCTGCAAGCAGGGCACAGGGTGCAGTGGTGACACTTCAGATATATCAGACCCCAGCCAGCCCCAGGGCTGAGTTGTCCTGCTAAAACCAGTGGGGGGATGAACTGCAGCAGCAGAAAGAGCCCCTTCCCTCAACTTTCCTGCTGGAGAAGTAGTGGTGTAGGACTGCAGCAGGACACTGAGCCAGCAGCTGGAGTGCCAGTAGCAGCATAAATAGAAATACAACTTCTCAGCTTCTTGTGCAGCTATGATATATCTTGTTTATATTGACTTTCTTAAACCTCTAAAATACATTGTAGATTGATCTACAAATCTGCAAAAAGCACCTTTTTTTTATTTTTTTTTTAAGCCTAAAGCAATTTTCTGCCTGCTCCTTGTGGTTGGCTCTGAACAGACACATGTTCTCTTGTCCTATTTGAGGCTGGCATGCTGCCACAGTGGTAGGAAGTTTAGCAATACTTGAGCTGGATCGATTCAAGCCCATTATCTGTGCTGCCTGGGACTTGGTGGTGAAGGGGAAGAAAATATTCTCCCCAGACACATCAAAGCCCTGTGATAAGGACACACAGTTAAGCTCTATTTATAGATGGACAGATGTCTTGCCAAAGCTTTGCTGCTGTCACTTGATTATGCAGTTTTTGTGTGCTTGGATCTGAAGGTGGCTGAGGTGTGTCCCCCCAGGCACAGCCCCAAGCAATACAGCTTCTAGGTGGTCTTTTGCCTTCTTTCAAGAAGGGACCTGATGTTTAGATATTAACGATGAAGTGGCTGAGAGATCTTTTCTTGGAGTTGGTGACCAAGATCAATAATCCCTTATCTTGTTCTTACAACTGCATAGACCTACAAAGACTTTGGAGCTCCAGGGCAGAGCTGCCAAGGATGTCATATCAGAACTGTGTGGCTGTTGAGCTGAGGGCTGGGGTACCTGGCTTTTAGCTCTGCCATCCTCCTAGCAAAGAGATTTTTTCCTACTGTCCACCCTAAACCTCCCAAGCACCAAGGTGTGTAGCCAATGACATGTTGTATTTCATGAGTTTTCCTTCTTTATGAAAAGCTTTCAGGGACATTTCAATCAGGGCCAGTCATGCAAGCTGCATATTTGGAGTGGTTCCCCAGGCCAAGTTGTCTTGGGTCTTGCAGTGTATGTGCACACACATGTTACATGAGTATTTGATTTTTGAGGGGGACGGTGGAAAGGGTGATGTGAAATGGGTTAGCCAATCCAGATTCTACTTCACGTGTGAAGGAGTGTTGGTGCTCATTTCACAGAGCTATCCTTAATTTCCTTCCATATGTTGCTCTGTCTCAGTAGTTGTGAATTTGGCAATGGGAGAAGGTCAAAGGCTTCATTCAGCTTAGCCTTGAGTGTTGTTTTTAAAGATGCTTTGCTGGTTTTCTCTTGGTTCTAACCCTAGATAAAGGAGGGAAAATCTTCTCCTAGCATCCAGTGGGAACCTTTTGTTTCAGATTTGCCCACTGTCACTTTTGTTTCAGATATGCCTGCCCACTGTCACTTACCTTCTTGCTATGGATGGCTGTGAAGAGCCTCGCTTGGTGTCCTCAACAGCTTCCCTGGATATTTCAGTGGACCTGGCTGAATTTCCTTTAATTAATCAACACTGAAACTTCTCTTGGGGCTCCTAAAACTATGGGCAATGTCTTGATGTGGTTCAAGTGCTGTGTGACATGCCTGTGTTCCCACAGCAGCCCAGCCTGCTGCTGATCCCTTTGCTGCCTGGGCAGGCAGCTGGCAGGACCATGCTGGCACACCAAACCACAGCAATGAGCTGGAGAATTTCACAGAACGTGCTCCTTTTTAGGCCTCAGTGAATTGTGGCTCCACAAGGGAAGTTGTTGTATGTGGGCAGGTTTGGGGACCAAGACCTGACTTCATTCATTTATTTAACACTTACTAACATCTATTTAATCTTGATCAGGGGCAGGATAGGTGCATGGTGAATCCTGGCTGCGTGCCATTCCCAAGGCTGGGAGAAAGGAGATTTCTCTTCCCTGGGGTGTCCATAATGTGTTCTTCTGCAAGGCTCCTGCAGAGCCCTCCGAGCACTGTTTGGTTTTATTCTGTCTCCAGGGTACTGCTCAGCCCTGCTCGTATATTCCTCTGATGAGTGGCCAAGACAGGAAGCAAATACCTTTGGTACAAAACCACATATGGGCTTTCAGTGGGTGATGATACT